TTTACGTCTGTTAAATATTAATAATAACGTTTCCATATATATATATATATATAAAGAAAAACGTTATTATTATTATTATTATTATTAGTAGTAGTATTATTATTATTATTATTACTATTATTATTATTATTATTATATCAATGCCTATGTTTAAGATCGGCATTCAAAATACGAGGATGAGGTTGACAAAATTTCAAGAATGTTTCTCTCTCTCTCTCTCTTTCTCTCATATTTTTAAAACTTTTCAAACTACGTTGAAAAATAAGGGCAAGTTTGTCCCTGATACGAGAACAAAACCCAATTTTTTTTGTTTTTCCTACACGTTAAACTCGAAACTTTTTCAACCTCCATTACGTCGTTTAATTTAAAATTCGTGTTTTTTTTTTTTTTTTTTTTTTTAATCGAACCCTCTCTTTTAATTACGAGATATTATTAATTACACAATGATCACATTAGTTTTTGTTTTGTTTGTATTTTTTTTTTCTGTTTTTTTTTTTTTGGTTTACTAAAGATGACATGCAGCGTACAAAACATATCTCATACATATATTTATATGTTTATTTATATGCATATATGTATAATATTTGTCGTTTAATTTTTATGTTTTATTCTTTTCTTTTGTCTTTTTTTTTCCTTGCCTTTGTTTCGTTTTCTTTCTTTTTGCTTAATTTTTAATTTTTATTTTAATCATTTCTTATATTACCGATTTTTTTAGTTGTTGTTGTGTTGTTGTTGTTGTTGTCCCTTTTTATTTCCCCTTTCCCCCTCCCCCCTCCCTCCCTCTACCCTTTCCCCCCTATTGTAATACTCTAATCATTTTCATTCGTTTAGTTTTGTCATTTATTATTATACACGCTATATTTACTTTTTTGTTTTTGTTTTTGTTTTTTTTTTGTTTAAATATATATTGCGTTACGATGATTCCTTACAATAATAATCCTTTTTTTTATATTATATTTCGAGGAATTATTTTTTAAAACGATCGATACGCGAGCGATTTTACGCAACGATAAACACACACACACGATGACATTTATTGTAATACGATTTTTTCGAGTACGCCACAATCAAACGACGACACTTACGCCATCATTTTCTATTTGTCATTTTGTTGTTGTTGTTCTTCTTTTAAAATTAAAAAAAAAAAAAAATGTTGCATATTATAAAACAAAATTCTGATTATAATCAAATTGCTCGAATGATAACATTAATAATAATAATAATTAATTATTAATAATAWATGAATAGGATATTAACAATTATTATTACAATAATAACAACAACAATAATAATAATAAAAGAATAATAATAATAATAAGAATAATATTGCACGAATGGTTAGGGAACTTCACTTGAATTTTTACGCACGAATCTTTTTACAACACGACACGAAAATTGCAACAGCCCGAAAAATATTACTAATATATATATATTACATTTATTATATATTCTTTCAATTACACTTTATTTTTCTTACAACGAAAATATTTTGTTCTTGTCGTGTTATAAATAAGAATCGAGCGTAATTATTTTATTACAAAAAAAAAAAAAAAGAAAAAAATGCCACTACAAAATGAGAAGAGGGAGAGGGGCATAAATATATAAAAAAAAAAAAAA